AGTAATAGATATAGAAATAAATGTATAGAAACAAAGAAAGATGGAGTGTGTGCTACTTAGATAAACTGCTGGTTTCAGAACAACAAAAAATCGTACAAGATACGATTGGAACATGTGTCAGAAAGCAGGGAAGCATTCCAGGGATGATGGGGGACACAGCCATGGGACCCAGAAGCAGCTTGACCTAGTTTCTGCTGGCAAAATTGCGAACAATTTCATCAGCAAAATATCCATAGGAATAGATTATAACTCTTTGAATAAAATGAGATTCCATGAGTTTATACTGATATAAATAAATAAATGAGTAGCTTGGGAGTTTGATACAGGATGAAAATTACATTGTACAAAGTGTCTGCTCACAAAATTCCAGTAATTATAGAGGAAAAGAGAAACTTCACAGTGAAGGAGCCTGGCAGACACTGTCCTAATCAGGTGATTAGGGATCATGACCCCTAAATTATACATCATTTTATAGGAGGCCAAGGGAACAGTCTAGCTTTTCTTTTATGGCATTCCTGCAAAAATGCTTAGTTCTGGGGCCTCCCTGGTGGTGCAAGGGGTTAAGCATCTGCACTATGAAGCTATCTGCAGCCACCACAGCACGAGTTCGATCCCTGGCCAGGGAGCTGACCCACATGGCGCAGCAGACCTCTCCTGTCTTGCACAGTGCTCCCCTCAGCAGTGTATTTCAGTACATCTGCCTGTTTTGCTTCCCCCTCTGTCTCTGGTGAATTCTCTCACCCCCCCCCCCCCCGCCGACCCCTGCTCCTCTGGCCTGTACCCCAGTTCTTGTATGCATAAATAAATAAATCTTAAAAAAGAAATGAGTAGCTCACATGTGATTACAAACAAGGACACATTAAACAAATCAGAATAGTGCGCCTGTAGTCGTCTGAAGTACAGGGCCATGATCTTCTAAGAAAGACAAGGAACTGTTCCAGGCTGAGACAGGCAACTACATTCACTGCCTCATTCCGAACCACATCCTTTTCCCACTATGTACTCTGTGGTAACAATTGGCAAGATTTGAGTAGGGTGTATGGATTAGATGGTATTAATGTAGCTCATGATATCCTGATTCTAGTCATTGTATTTTGATTCTATAGGAAAATATCCTGGTTTGTAGGAAATGCAGAACTCAAGTAAGTGGGGGAGATGGTGCAATAGGTTGGTTACTGTCACTATTCAGAGAAGAGGGGCATATTCTTTGTACAGTGTGGACTGGTCCTGTTTGGGTTGGTCCAAAATTTTACACATATGTTAAGTAGTCTAGGTAATTTTAGATAGTTATCTGACCTACCAATATGTTGTTACTGTCAATCTTGGTATGGAATAGTCAGGGTTGGGGAAGGCAGGCAAAACTGTGATGAGACGATGATAATCTTACTATAATTTAAAACCCTGTTCTCATGTCTGCACATGGAACACCCTTTCTTCATGTTGGCAGAATACGAGATCCCATCATTTCCAAGGTATCTTTTAATGGTAACGTGAGCTTATTACAACCTGCTTGCTGGGGAAATGAGTTGGGGGGAGATATCCACTCAGCAGTGGTCTTCTGACAAAGCCCATGTGTGAGACTTCTGTGCCTTGTGTTTATGTCAGGAGCACCTGATGAGGCCTACTGGAAACAGAGCCTTAACTTCTTTCTGTTTGAAGAAGCATTTCAATCCCAGCACTAATTCTCTGTTTCTAGCTGATATAGAGATGACTTCCTGTTAGAGAGTCCAAGACTGTTAGGTCCCTTTTTGTGTGCTGATTGTGAATTACCCATTCGAGCCAGACATGTAATTGGAGTGGAATTACTGATACACTCAAGAAAGCAGAACTTACAAATTTGTCTATAGCAGCATAATCCTGGGCAACTCATCAACACACCAGTGTCAGGTTCTGAGCAGTCTTTGACCAGGGGGATAATCTCCCGACCTTTCATTAACAGCCAAAGGAAATGAATGAAAGTCAAGTGCATGGATCTAGGCTAATTCCATTTTCTCTTTCTCCCTTTCATTCTTTTTAAATTTCAGTATTAGAAAATGGGAGGGGGGTGGGGTGGAGAGAAAGATAAAAGCTGGTCAGGCTTGTAGAAACCTTTTCTTCTTAATTCTGTGCTGGGCAAGCTTGACTAACAGATGCTTAGGATAATAAATAGTATTCCAATGCTATATTTCCAAAGTGATTAGATGTTTTTCTGCTACATCAAAGGCTTTCTCAAATTGCTCAGGATGTGTTAAAACCAAATTAAAAGACTGTTGTCATTTTACCGTATCAAAATTTTTTTTATTCTAAGTTGGCTAAATTTCCTTCAGATAATATTTACTGTCTACTTTACACCAAGTGTTGCAGCCCTGGATACAGAGCAAGAAGGATGCGCCCCCTGCCCTCTCATACCTCAGGAATTAAGACAGCAAATGAGCAACTGTAATATAGTGTGAGGACTCATAACAGGGACACATGCTTCAAGAAGGAAATGCACGAAATGTGATTTTTTTAAGTCTGACTTGTAGTAAATACCCAATAATGAGCATTGTTGGTGTTTTATGTATTTTTACTCTCCTTACGCTCAGCACTGGCACCACAACTGTTCCTGCAGGCGAAATCTGTAATTATGGATAGGAAGTTATGAGAACTTGGCTTAGAGTCGAAGGAAAAGCTTCAGAGAGAAGCGGGAGGAAGGTAGTGGGTAGGGTGTGGAGCTGGGGGTCTTACCTGGTTGGTAGACATTTTCTAAAGGGAAGGAGAGGACAAGGACTGTGTAGGACAGGGGAGATTCTCTCGGGTTCTCTGTTGGTTTTGCAAATGCTCAAGAGTTTTATGACTTGAATTGAGCAGCCATAAAAAGAAGAGTATTAAACATTTGGGCTCTTGGGGGCCTCCCTGGTGGCGCAAGGGGTTAAGTCGCAGCACTATGAAGCTATTAGCAGCCACTGCAGCACAAGCTTAATCCCTGGCCAAGGAGCTAGCCCACAAGGCGCAGCAGACCTCTCCTGCTGCCCACTGCTCCCCTCAGCAGTGTACTTCAGTCAATCTGCCTGTTCTGTTCCCCACTCTGTCTCTGAAGAATCCTCTCCCCACCCTCCACCCCCACACCTCTGGCCTATACTCCAGTTCTTGTATGAATAAATAAATCTTTTTTTAAAAATAAATCTTTTTAAAATAATAAATAAAATCTTTTGCTTTGTGTTCTCCAGCATTTCATAGAGTAGCTTATTTGACTTTTTCCTCATCTGCTCCGTCATCCAGCTTTCTCTTCCAGACACCACGTATTGACTATAGAATATCCATGTGCAGTAATTCAAGCTGCAGTAACAAACAAGTCTTTGTTCTTCTGGCATTTCAAATCTGCAAGACATCTCAACCTGCCTCAAGTGGAGTTGGCACCCACTTTTTTCCTTTCCTCTGACTCCTTGGTGGGTGGAGTCTCTCTCCTGCCCTGTTGGGGCTTATTGGTGACACCTTTTGTTAAATTCTCACCATTTATCAACATCTACAACAGCTGATTTGGGGATGTTGGCATTCTCCAAGCTGCCAAAGCCAGCTCCATGACAGTGACAGCATTTGCCAGCACGCTTATGTGGTGACTCAGGAGACCGGGTGGCCAGCGAAGCAGCCTCTTTGTGGGAGTGGATTTTGAGAAGTGCTAATTCCGTGGCGGGTTGGAGATATTAATATCATGCTGGCAGTAGATAAACAGGCAGCAGAGGGGCACAGAATGAGAAGAGAAGCAGCCACAGCAGCTTTTCCTCATTTCTCTACCCGTATATATTTTTTCCTTCTTTTAGAAATGTATGTCCTCCTGAGTTTTGATGTATAGAACCCTTACGTGGCTTCACGTGCACATAGACCAGCTCCCAGCCTCTCTAAAACATGAGTTTCTAAGAACACAACTGTGAAGAGTTAACTGCACTGCCAGACCACACTAAATCATAGCATATGGTACCGTGGCCTATTGCTTCCCATCCCCCCTCCCTGAAGGGCTGCTAACCAGATGGTTTGAGTGGGGCCTTTGGTGTAATTATGACAGACAAAGAAAGACATAACCACCACTCTCCCTCAGTAACATCATACCTCTTGTTTCATGATACTCGCTACAGGAAATATTTGAAAATGTGTTTGTAGTTTTATTGCTTCACCTCAAGGCTGGGGGGCAGCCATACAAATGTGCTTCACTAGTTTTCTGGGAGTCATTTCCAGTGTGGTCTTCCTTCTTCCTTCTACTTACCGTGGCACCTCTTTCTCATTCTGGCAAAGAAATGATTCAGTAAATATGAGAAGTGCTTTCAACAGGATTCTGGTGTGAATATTGTGTGGTGGGATAAAGGGACCCCAAAGCTGGGCCTCTCAGGTTTGATACTTTTTATTGTACTTCTTCCCCCAGCTCATGCAGTTTTCATAAAGAACATTAATTCTATGCCTAGACCTCTTCCCACAGCCCTCCCCCAGTTCATGCACAGCCTTACTTTCCTTCAGCCCCCTTTGGGGCACAGAGCCCCTTGCTGATTGGCGTTGGCAGAGAAGCACTTTGTAGTGTGTTACAACAGCGATTCTTACATTGCCAAACTGGAACAAGACAGTTTCGAATTACAGTAGAGGCTAGAAAGGAGATTTTGAGAAATTTAGGTCATGCTTTTATGTGTTTTGTTTTTTATCTGTGTGCCTGAGATTTTAGAGCAGACTTTTCTGGAGGGTAGTGACTTGTTTATAACATTCTGTAAATAGCCTGGCCTAATGTGGGCTTTTTACAGATATTCTCTGCTAGTTTTTATGTATGGATTGATACAGCATCTGACTGTACTAAGCAGGAAAATGCTGATCTAGGGGACTTTGTTATTTTACATTTTATTTGGATTTCTAGCTTAGCAGCTCATTGGTCTTGAAACCCTCGACTTCTACCTCCCTCTGCCGGGATGCCTTAAGACCTTCAGGTGCTAACTGTTATTATTTCTGTTGACTGAGCCCCATCTGCACCTCCAGTGCTCACTGACCTGTCTTTTCTGTTGCAGAAACATTGCTGAGGCCCTTGTCAGCAAAGGTCTGGCCACAGTGATCAGATACCGACAGGATGACGATCAGAGGTCCTCTCATTACGACGAGCTGCTGGCAGCAGAGGCCAGGTGAGGTGCACATGTTGGGACCCACAGCCCCACTTCTTTCCATTGTCCAACCGATCCCTGAGCAGAATGGTCTGGCAAGTAATACACTGAGAAAAGCTGTATCCTTTTATTATTCCTTTTTCTGCAGGGATAGAAGAGGACACACTTTGAACTTAGTTTACCCTGGATTACATGCACTGGGCCTCCATTTTTTGTATAAGATATGCTCTCCCAGGGTAGATGTTGTAAAAGGAATCAACAAAAAAGTACTAGATATTTTGATTCTCAACGCCCTCTCATCATTCAGTGAAGCCCTGCTGCTTTTGCAGGACTTTGCCTCTGGTTCTTACCTCCAAGGCCTCTGCTCCTTGGCCCCTCCCAGTAATCACCTCTAGACCTTTTGTCATGTATAAAGGAAATGAAAACATTTATTAGGGAATGAGTTTTGGTTTCACACTTCTGACAGCTGGCAGGGGAGCATTTGAGAAGCCCCGTGACATTTTACATTTGTCCTTCATCTCTGTGGCTGGTTGCGCCAAGGACATGCATACTTCTCAGCAGTATTTCTTACCGTTGACATTCCTCAAGGCTCATGCTCATATGGAGACTTCTGTCACTGGGTGGTGCTGGTAGTTGAGTGATTGCTAGACTTCTAGGGTTCAGAGTAAGAACTGGCTACCACTGCTGAATTGACTTGGGTCGACTTCTGTCGCTGGTGGTGGTAGTTGAGTGATTGCTAGACTTCTAGGGTTCAGAGTAAGAACTGGGCTACCACTGCTGAATTGACTTGGGTAGCTCAGCAAAGCACTTGAACACAACCAAAATGTAGTTTCAAAGTGATGGCAGGCCCTGGCCTCCCTCCGCCATTTTTCTGTAACCAAGCACTGACTTAATGGTAGAAGTTTTGTCCTTGTCCGCTTATGCTCTGCACTTAGATGGGGAATGAGATTGGGCATGTTATCTATGTTTCAGTTGTCGTTAAGATCACTTCTCTTGTTCTTTGGCCGAGACTGTTGCCCTGATATGTGGCATTTACCTCTAACACCATGTCACATCCTGATGGATAAAGCAGCTATAGATTGTCACACAGAATGTAAGCTGAGAAATCAGTCTGTCAGGCTACTGTGCTTTTTGGATTTTTTTCTTCAAGGTTTTTCTCAGGTCCTGTCTGGGACCTTGTAAGGGCAGGACTGGACCAGTGCAGGTTTTCTGTTATCCAGCAGACCGGGTAAAGGAGGAGTCATAGTCCTTAGTGGGTTTTTGCAGGTCTTTTATTGTGGTTCAGCGGGTACGTGGCAGGCAGGGGGGCTGGGGGGCTGGGAGGCTGGCAGTCCTCCCAGCCCCCAGCAAATCCCCACTCTATCTGGGCTCTCTGGCATTCTCTGCTTCTGCTTCTGCGCTTCTCTTTGGCTTCTTTCTCAGCTTCTACTGGCGTCCCGGTGACGCTGCCCTTAAAAGCACAATCTTAGCTCAGCTGAATCCCATCTACCTATGCCCACACCCTGTTCCAGGTGCCCGCCATCAGGCATGCATTCAGGACAAGGATCCATCATCTATCCTGATGGCGGGAGGGCAGAAAAGCCTGACATTTTCTTTACCCTACAGACCTGATCCTGGAACACGAAGAGGTCAGTGAGGATACCAGTGGTAGTTAAGGGCTCATTAATGGCCAGTATAAAATGCTATGTTATACACTCATTTAGTACGTTGTCATTGGAGTTTCTCCCTGCATATGTTATCACTAAACCAGGTGGGCAGAGAGCATTTACGGGGGGGACACGTGCTTCCCCTCTCTTGTGGTGTTTCATCATCTGTCCACTCCCCGCCATGGCCCATGATCTCTGGGCTGGATGCTCAGCCTGCTCTGCTGGTGTTTCAACCTGCAGGTTATGCACCCGGAGAGGGGCAGGTCCCACCCTGGGTTCACTCTGCCACTCATGAATATGTAATTTAGTTCTAACAGGCAGGTGAGCAGGAGAAATAATTGGCATGGCAGCTCTGGATCGTGAGGCCACGCCCAGCTCGGGTGCTGTTTTGTCAGAAGTAGCTGTGTTGTGCTCTGCTGTTAATGAGCAGCACGTTGAGAGTGAGATTTTTTTAAGTTTTTGGTTTTCAGGAGAAAGCAGCCTCTTCGTTCAATACTGGTTTTGAGCTGAAGGAATGTAACAAGACGCTTGCCTGCTGAAGCAGTGAGCTGCCTCGAGATAATTGTGTCGAGCCATTGCTTTCAGACTGATAGTGGAAAACTGGCTTCCGGGCCCTTGCACCATTGCAGGTTGAGTAAATGGAGAGAAATTAAACACTTCCTCAAGCCTGTGAAGCTTCCCCATAAGGCAGTGCAGAGCTCATAAAGAATTAGCAGGAATGGCCAACATGAACTGTGAGTGAGTTTTCCTTTGGAGCAGCATTGTCAACAATCCCCGGGGTGGTGGCCCAGCGCCATCAGCTCGATGCTCACCCCATCGAGGTGAATGAAGATCCGATAAAGACCGGAACACCTGCCGGTTAGCAACGGTGCTTAGTAGCCATTGAAAGATTTTCAGTGCAGATTGCTCCCTATTTAAAAACAAGACCACCTAATTTTTTGACACTCTGCTGTTTTGTTTGCCTTCAGTTCAAAGCTCTCTCTTCACCCATGACACTCTACTCATGTGCCCTCGGCATTCTTCCTGGCTTCTGTCATGTTACAGCTTATCAAAGATCTTCTTACATGCTGATTCTGCCCCTTCTCCTGCCCATCTATTGAATACTCTCTGAGTTTAGGATTGTTTTCCCCTAGATAGATTAGCTGTATTTTTTCCAGTTGAACTCTGCCTTGTAATTTTATGTCCCTGTCGATGCAGTTCCCCCACTACAAGCTTAGTGTCCTCTGCAGATCTCATTAACGAGTTGTTTACTTCTTTCTTGGGCCCTGGATAAACCCCTAGACAAGAACGGCTTTGGTGTTGACCCCAAGGCTCTCGCTGCATATTCTGTCACTTAACTGTCTTTTGTTTATCATCCTTCAGTCACTTTTTAATCTTCAGTGATCATGTACTGAACCAAGCCAATTTGAATTAATTTCCCATGTAAAATTTCTTGAGGTACTGTATCTAATGCTTTAGCAGAGGCCAGATTAAAAACATCTGCTATGTTCCTATCAGTCATCCATCCTGGACTCGTTAGGTAAATAATAGTGGTTGGTGATGGTAGCCTAGCGAAGCCACTGTTCCCTTTCGTCCCCCTGTCCCCAAGGGTGTAGATTCCAACAGATTTCTTTGTCCCTGACCCCCAGCTGCTGCATTCTCTCCCTGGTTATCGCCAGAGATATCAGCGGTGGTGCACAGTGCTCTTCCATTGACTTCGCTTTCCAGAGCACTGCTCGGCCATTAATCCTTTTAGAGAAACATTGTAAGCTTTGGGGAAAGGGCAGCCTGTTAAAGTGTCTGACTTTGAGGGTCAGCGCAGCTGCCTGCCCAGGAGTTGATGAGCTTTCTCGGGGCTCTGCAGCCGCTGCTTCCGCTGCAGGGGGGAGTCTGATCTGCCAGCCTTTCTCAGATCATCTGATGGGAGCCCGTGGAGGGATGCATTAGGCACATTGGGAGACCAGGTGAGATGGCCAATTTGCAGTTTGCTTCCTGCCTTCAAGCACATCCACCTGCCCACCACAGAACAGCCCATTCCCCCTCAGTAGTTTTGTTCCCCGGGCTGACCCTTTGAGGCACCTTCATTGAGATGCCCGTCTGCTTTTGGGAAATATAGCTCATGCCTCAAATACACGGTACATCTAGAGGAAGTAACATTTTTTCCATTTAAGGGAGAAATAAACCCACAGTCCCCACATGCGGCCTTCCCTTTCTAGTTCCATTGTCTGTCATCAGCTGCCTCCTTCCCCGCTGCCTTGTGTTCTGACAAGATAAGGTTTTGGCCTCTTTACCTGCACTCATGGGCCTTGTTTCTCTCATAGGCTCCATTGAAAAGCCCTTGATTTTGTCCCAGGATACCAAGAGTCCATTTTTGTAGTAAAATGAACTTAGGTGCAGTGACCCGTACTTACTGACACTCTAGAACTTGACCCCCCTTTTAAAGGTATCATATGCGCTCCTTTGGGAGGGTGACACATCACTTCTTTTCTGTACCATCCTAATTTTTCACTCCTATATTGGCCTGCCAATATTTCTTGTTCTCCTCTTCATTGTCTATCAGCTGGCCTGCTGCATGAGCGTGCTCTAGACACACAGCAGGACTTTTGACTCCTTCAGAGAAGAGCTTCTATATCCTTCTAAGGCATTCAGTCATTACTGCTAATGACTGCCTTCTTTTCTAAGGTGTTATGGAATCTCTCATCTACTTTCTCCTGTGTTCCTGGTGAAACAACGTCCGGTTGGATTGCACACAGGCCAGCGTGTAGATTTCTTCACCATCCCAGAGGTCTTTCCAAGTGGGCTTTTGTAGCGCATGCTACAGACACTGAAGATGAGCTGGAAGTGCTTGGCAGCAGATCAAAGCCTGGCTGTGTGCCTTGTTTCCCTTGGACATCCGGACCTCGAGGCGGTCACGTGTGTGCATTCTCCTAGGGCTGCCAATCACATTACTTAAAACATAAAATTTTAAGATTTCCTCAATACATAGCATCTCTGGCTCATTGCAGGAAAGCCCAGAAGCTTGGACTTTATTCCTTTAAGGCACCTTTTAATTCTAAAACTGTTATTTTAAGATAGGATGTATATATTCAGAAAAGAAATTGATGCCCCAGCTTGACTGTGGGAAAGTAATTGTATTGAGCAGTCTGGTGTCTGAGCAAATTTCAGTGGACGTGGTTTCATCCTGGAGGTGAGGGCCATCTGGGCGGAGACAAGGTCAGAATACACCTCTTCGCTTGTATTCTGTTTCTTGCTCGGTGCACTGCACATTGACAAAACTTGGTGGCGTTTTCCCTCAGGGAGTGGCAGCCCCAAGCCACCTCCACCTCAGTCTTGCTGGGCCTCTCTCTCTTCCAAGTCAACCAAGGGAGTCATTTTTCTGATTGAGCAAACTGCAAG